TCTCTCTCTCTCTCTCTCTCTCTCTCTCTCTCTCTCAGTCCAGTACTAACCTGTGAAGTTGGCGCCTTGATGCAGGTACCTCGAAGATGGAGCTGGAGCGATGGCGCCACAGGTAAGTACCACTGGCCTCCGCCAGTACCTCTCCCARCTCTACGCTCTACCTCCTACTAGCGCCCAGCGCTGATGACTACAGCTATGGCTATGGCGCCCAGCGCCGATGACTACAGCTAGCGCTACTACTGCCTAGCGCTGAAGACTACTGCAGCGCTCCTCCTGAGTGCTGCGGCCGAAATCTGAAGACTACCGTCCTACTCTCCAACTGCCTACCCGTTCAGTGCCTGAAGCTCCTATGTACTATCACGGGTGCCTCCTGACTCGGGCGAGCAGTCCAGGAGGCTGCTCTTGCCAATAATGCCGAAGGGAGGCAGGGGCTGCAGCTGCAGCTCCTGCTTGTGCTCTTGCCAATAATGCCGAAGGGAGGCAGGGGCTGCAGCTGCAGCTCCTGCTCGAGCTGGCGTGGGAACAGGCCATAAATAGCCTGATCCGAAACCCAGTTTTCGTGCCTGAATCTTACGGCAGGTCGAAACAAATGAGGGCCTAAAAATAGCCCAGGGCCTAAGAATAGCCCTCCGTTTCAGGCTGGAAAAACTCTGGGTCTGAAAGACCCAGAAATAGGCTGAAACGGAGTAGGGCCTGCAGGCCCTCGTTTTTCAGTTTTCAGGCTGAAACGGCCGGGGCCTGTAGCTCCTAAGTTTTAGGCTTTTAGGCTGAATGTCCGGGACGGGTCCTACAGGGCCCGTGTGGCTACGCAGTCTGCCACACCGAAGCACGACAACGCATTAGGGAACTGGATGATCGCTGGTGATGCTGACTTCTTCACTGGCGCCTCCCTGTAAATCAGGTGCGCACCACAAACCCAAGGGTGCTGGCAGGCCACTTGTCGGTGCATAGAGATCGATTCTGGAGGTGAAGATCTAATCTGCGTATTTCTTTTAATTAGTGCAACGGGTGAATTCTCTTCGATACTTCTCGAATAAATTCAGCGGCCGCTCTTGGCCACACGTGGCAGGAGTGTGTGCGTCATCGCCAATTCATTAGTGCAACCGCTGAGATTCCCGCATTCTGCTGTGACTTCTAACTCCGTGTGTGTGCATGCCTGCTGGTCTGCGTGCCTGTCTAAGTGATTGTCGGCCTGAGTGTGTGTGCGACCCGCAAGGGTACTTGTTCGTTGAAAGGCCCCACAGGGCCGGTACTTACCTGTGGCTGGAAAAACACTCACGTAGCAGGGAGGCTGGTACCACTCAAGTAGTTGTAGAAGTGTCGGGTACTGGAGGCCGAGCAGAAGAAGACAAAAGTTGGCATTTTCAGAGGCCCAGTAGCGGTAGGTTAGACGTAGGCCGGTACCAGTCCAAGTAGCCTGAGTCTAGGCCTGTCCGGACAATATCAATAAACGTTGGCATTTTCAGAGGCCCAGTAGCAGTAGGTTAGAGGTAGGCCGGTACCAGTCGAAGTAGCCTGAGTCTAGGGCCTGTCCGGATGATATCAGAGCCTGCAATGATGTTTCCCTCCAAAAGGGAGGACGTACCGGTTGCTGGGAGGCCGCTCGGCCGAGGAAGTCACTGCCCAAGAGGCCAGTAGGCCGCTATATCTTTGGGAGGAGCAAGCAGCTCCTCCCCATTTGCGGTGTGCAAGGATTGGCGACATACTGCTGGAGCCAATCGCTGGACTTGGGAGCGCTGCCTGGAGGAGGAGAGTCGGGAGGAGCAAGCAGCTCCTCCCCAGCTGCGGTGTGGAAGGATTGGCGACATACTGCTGGAGCCAAGCGCTGGACTTGGGAGCGCTGCCTGGAGGAGGAGAGCAGCTGCGCGCTCACCCTGGCTATGGCGAGCAGCCCGGCCTGAGGGGGAGGAAGAACGGGGTGAGGGAGGAGAGTGGCGAGGTACGTACCTGGCTATGGTGGACACCATCTTCATCACCTTGTTCGCAATACATCTGGAAGGCCCCAGTTCGGGTAGTGCAGCACCAAGGAAGCTCGAGGCAGAGTCAGGCATGGCAGCCTGAGGAGCAGCGACATAGCTGCTTTGTGTTGTCCTTTGGACAGGAGGGAAGAGCCCTTAGTAGTCTGCCATAGCCTAGGCATGGGAGAGGAGGAAGAAGGGGGAAGCCATGGCCATGGTGGACCTGTTGTTGTGTCAGCAGGAAGAGGGAACTTTGAAAATTGATTCTGGTTCATCCACTCATTGATATTATTATTATTATTCGAAGAAGAATAAGATTGGAGTGAAGGAGGAGGAGGAGGAAGGAGTGAGAAGGGGGATTTGCCATTGGTCTTGCTGGTGTACATCTTCTTCTTCTTCTTCTTCTTTCTCTCTTCTTTGATCTCTATCTCTTTGCAAACACTTTTTTCTTTTTGCAATTGGGCTGCATTACTTTCCTTGTGAATTTGCACTTTGGAAGTGACCAGGATCGTAACATTTTTACTTTTTTTAATATTTTTTTCTGGAAAGATCATGAGCAAATCTACAGACCCTCAAATTCTCAAAAACTTTGACGCATTCTTCAGAGCGCGAAAAATAGCTGAATTTGGGAGTACTTTCCCCGACTTCCCCTTACCCTCCCCTCCCTCTCTCTCTCTCTCTCTCTCTCTCTCTCTCTCTCTCTCTGGCACACACACACACAAAATCCTGCTTCAAATTCCAAGGGCGTAAGGAATGCAACTGTGGGACAGACTCTGCAAAGGGGACAATATGTGTGAATGTTGCAGCAAGTCACACTGAAGCACAAGCACTGAGGCTGAAAACTGAGTACCCCTGCTGGGCTTGAGTCCGGTCTTAAGTACCGGACTCAAGTGAGTCCCGAGGGCAGAGGTGCAATTTGCCTCAGGGCTGAACTGAAAATCGAAAGTCTGAGTCTGGGCACCAGAATGCCAGATGGCGCCATGTATAGAAGTCCGAAAGTGCCAAAGGAGGAATTTGAGAACGGACGTCAACTGCAGAAGGCGCCAACAGTCAGAACCGAAGAGCAAAAATAAAAACAAAAAAATAAATAGTAGGCTGGCGGGTGGTAACCCGCGGACCAGGGATCAAGCCCTGGCTGAGTCCTTAACACTATTCCCTCCCTCTAGATGGCAACGTCCCGGCTGCCAAAAGTCATGAAACAATGCTGAAGTCTGTGAAGGATGGGACGATCACTGGTCACCATGTCGAAAGGGAAGAGGGGTAAAATGTGGGTGGCATGGCCTGGGGAGTAAGAGGGAACAGGGTTTATTGCCCGTGAATTAGGAACAGGGTTATCCTGCTGGTGACTGGTAACTGCAGGAGAACAAGGGTATCCTACTGATGAGCTAAGGGAACTGCAGGGAACAGAGTAATCCTGCTGATGAACTAAGGGGTTAGGAATAACAGGCAACAGGGTACTCCTACTGACCTGGGGGGTTCACGGGGAAGGAGGGTTATGCGATAAAAAAAAAAGGAAAATTGTCTTGTAATGTCCAGGGTCGGGGTTGCTGAGGGTCAGGGTTTTGGGTACAGGTTGAAAGTTCTGCGTAGAGGTCCGTTGAGAAAGTCTCGAAGACAGATCTTGGAGGGTGTCGCAGAAGTGTCGGTGAGGAAGCAGTCTTCAGCAGTTC